AAAACCCAAAGACAGTGTATTATAGCATTTTATTTTGAAGGTTAGAAATACAAAGATCATAGTATGAACAAGACATATAGCAAAAGGTGTTCTTAGATGTAAGATGCCATCCAGAGAAATCAGTGAGGACTTCTTAACCAAAGGCAAGCTGTTTGGTGCAATTAGATGGATTTTGAATAAGTGGAATCTTGGCCTAGAAGTGAATTGATCCATAGCTCCTGATGTTACCTGACAACAATGAAAATACTGGATGCATCAGTAGCTAGCTAGACCTTTTCAGGTATGAAAAATACTATGGCTGACTTCACACCTGAGTAAGAATGAATTATGAAATCAAAGTGTAACAGTTGAAGAAATAACTTATTCAGTAATCATAGCCTAAAGAAACAGTGTATCCCTAAAAGTACACAGTCCTCGGTGAACTAAACATATTAAACAAAATCTTACTGGGAAAATTAAATCAAACAAACCAGGAGTAACCCTGCCAACGTAAAAGAAAACTCTCCAAAGAGTATAGTTTTGTTTTAGCCACTGCCATATGGGAAAATTTATGTAGTAAAGTATATGCTTATAAAGTTTCAACTTATATTTAGTGGGGGAAACAATTTATTATACCAAAAAAGCATAAATGTATGACAGATGGTAATGCTTTTTTTTTTTTTTTCTGTTCCTGGCAGAGACCCTTTTTGGCTGAATGCCTTTCACTTCTTAAAACTATGAACATTGTCATTCACACCTATTTTCTGAAATTAAACAGACCAATTCTACAATGAAACCCCCTATAAATTTGGTTACTATATAATGTCTTCCCATTTTGTATCATAAATTATCTAGAGTACCACTCTCCCTAGAATAATGAAAAAGGTCAAAACTGTGCAAAAAGTATTCTGTAATAAAACCTTTATTTTAACTATCTTAAATCAATTTTGGAAGACTTTCTATATATAAATTTATTTTGGTAGGACTTTACAAAGAAAATTACAAAAGATTATACTATAAATGCATTCTTCCATCTTGGAATCTTTATTTTGGCTTTTAAAATGTTGAATTCCTTTAAATCATTGGGAAAATTTTAATTTAGATAGATAGATAAGAGATCTTGTTGGTTTGTCTTTGAAAAACAGCCAAAAATTTTCCTAAGTGTATGTGACATAAGAAGACTAGTTTGCTGTATTACTTTACTATGCAAGCCACTTGTTTAAAGTAAAACTTGTATTTACTAGATAAAGAAGTGAAAGAATGTACTGTACAAGCAGGTGGAAGGCAAGGTAAAGAGTGAGATCAAGATCTGGTGGGTAATACTAAATGCAGTCTACCAAAGGGATCTTCATGCTTTTCACAGTAGCTAGCATTGTGTACTGCCTACTTGAAGGTGCAAGTTTGTTTTCTCAGGCAGTTTCAGAAAATCTGGCTACTGTTAGATTTACTAACAACTGATCCTAAAATAAAAATTGTCAAAAATGTAAGAGTAGTTAGGATAACTCTACCTGCTATAGCAGACCCCAGTATTTCAGCAGCTTAAAAAAATAAAAGTTTATTTCTCATCTACTTAATAGTCCCAAGCAAAAGCCTTTGGTGGGGGGAGCAGAGTGATGCTCAAGGGCAGGGGAGACCTCTGTGCCACAGCAATCATTCAGAGATTCAAGATTTTCAGTGTCACCACAATATCCAAGCAGAAAGAGGAAGGGCATGGACAATATTTGGAAGGTTGATAAAATGTTGTCTGATTCTCATAGCAGAAGAAAGGAAAAGGAAATGTCTGTTAACAGCTAGGCAGTTTTTGCCACAATAAATATCACAAACATTTTATTCCTGCCAAAACTGGGGTTGGACAGCTATCACTTATAAGAAATAGCTAGTGACACTTTCTTTGCAATTTAAAAATAACACAATGTTACTTTTCTCTCCTTATTCCATTTTTTCTCTTTTGTTTATTTTTCTTATCTGCAACCTATTTTATCAATCATCTGCTAGCCATTTGGCTGAGCTGATTGTAGATAATATGCTTTGTTTTGAAGTGTGCACTCATATTCAAGAAGAAGGAAAATTAGTAATGTAACATGACCTGCATAAACATCTACTTAAATTTTTTATAAAACATACTGGAATGCCAACAAAACTTTTACTACCTACTAATAAAAAGGCAGATTTTTTTCCCCCCAGTTTAAAACTATGGGAAGAATTATGATGAAAATTCAGAATGATGTAATCACAATCCAAGAATGGATTAATAAAATGTGGTATATGTATACCATGGAGTACCATTCAGCTCTAAGAAACAACGGTGATATAGCACATCTTATATTTTCCTGGTTAGAGCTGGAACCCATACTACTAAGTGAAGTATCCCAAGAATGGAAAAACAAGCACCAGATATATTTCCAGCAAACTGGTTTTACTGAGTAGCACCTAAGTGGGCACACAGGTGCTCAGTAATAGGGTATTGGGGGGAGGGGGGCGGTAATAACATACATAATGAGTGAGATGTGCACCATCTGGATGGGGTCATGATAGAGACTCAGACTTTTGGGGGAGGGGGGGAAATGGGCATTTATTGAAACCTTAAATCTGTCTATCATATATGCCAAAATAAAAAAAAAAAAAAAAAAAAAAAAAAAAAAAAAAAACCGTCGGGCGCCAGGATGCCCAGCTAATCACCTCCCTGCTGCTCTTCATCCATGAGGGCAGGCGCAGGACGGCAGGAGGCCACGACGGGTGTGCGCTGCTGAGGCTGGGCCTCCAGTGCCAACTCCTGCTGTCTGGGCCGAGTCAGTGCTTGGCCGCCTGCTCCCCACCTCCGGCTGCGCTGACTGCGCTATCTTGATTGGATACTTTTTGAAGCCCACTATTGCTGATTGGATGTTTAAGCTTGTTGCTGATCGGATATTAAAGCTTGTTGCTGATTGGAAAAAAAAAAAAAAAAGAATGATGTAATCAATGATTACTCAGATTTTTTTTTTGTTTTTGTAATAGATTTACCTTTATTTTCAAGCCACAATACAAAGATAATTTTTATCTCATAATGCTAAGAAAATTTTGGTGAAGAACTAACTTTTGAAGAAAATTCTATGAAAATTAATCAGTGGCAGCCTAGGTGGTTGTTATGGAGATTCTCAGGAAAATTATTTTCTGGCAGATCCCTTTGGCATCTCCATGAATCAGTCATTTTATTCTCAAGACAAGAAGAGAGGGCTTCTAGATGTGAATTGTGGCTAGACTGCATGGATTTATTCTCTTCCAAGAAGATATACTACTATACTTACTGCAGCAAGAAAGGAAAACTTGTACTTTTGGATAAATTTTCTGTGAAAGACTGTTTCTAGAAATTATTCTTTTCTTTAACATAGTAATCCCTTGATATCCACAGGGCATTGGTTCCAAGATCCTCCTACCAAGCCAAAGTCCATAGATGTTCAAGTCTTTTAATTAAATGACATAGTATTTGCATACAACCTATGCACATCATCTCCTATATTATCATCTCTAGATTCCTAATACAATGTAAATGCTCTGGGAATAGTTATTATACTGTATTATTTTTTATTTGTATTATTTTTATGGTTGTATTATTTTCCATTGTACATGTTTTTGTTTTGTTTATATTTTCAATCTTCTGTTAGTTGAATCTAGGGATGGAGAACTATGGATACAAGAGGGCTGATTATATCTGTATTAAAGAATTTGGGTGTAAGGAGAAATTTCCCTTCATTGGTCCAAATTATGAACAAGAGTTGAAAAGTAACATCATCATTAAAACTGCTCCCCAAATGAAGTAAGGTACTAGTGAATGGATACCACTCACTGCACCCTTCCCCATTTCTTCCTCAAAGAAAGAAATTAAAACGGTCAGATTGTCTTCCTCCTGTACAATGTCACCCACCCGTCAGGTTGTGCTGAATGTAGTTAAGCTTCTGGTTACTTGCACCACCTGTCATCCTGGCCCACAGGGACAACTGGAGCATCTCACCTCTAGGCAAAGTCCAGGGCCTCAGGGGATAGTTAAGCACTGGTCAGCACTGCATTTTATACAGACTAAAGAGACAGCAGAGTACCTTTGGCTGGCTCTGCTCCTGGGTATCCTTAAATTCGTCTCATTGCAATAAAAAACAAAAGGGAGCTAGACCTCATTTTGGCAGGCCTACAACAGTAGTAGCGTAGAGGTTAAGCACACTGGATCTGGGGCTCAGAAAATCCTAGATTTTAATCCTGGCATCATTAATCAAACACTGTGGGACTTGAGATAAGGTTGTTGTGAGAATTAAATGAAATAATTATGTACAGCATATATAAGCAGTGCTTAAGAAACAATAGTTGTTACTATCATTATTTTGGGGAATTTGTTCAAATAGATATTGATGAGTTAACAGGCTGGGGAAAAGGGAAAAAAGTAAGGTTTTTCTTGACAATAGGATACAGTTTAAATTAACTGGAAATATTTAAGCAGAGAAGACAAGATGGAAAAACATTAATCCCATCTACAATTAGATAAGGGATCACATGGAATAAGGATTGGCTTTGTTTGGTAAGGTCCAGGAGGCAGAACTAAGACCAGAGTAGAGGGTAGAAGTCAGCGGGAGACAAATTGGCTTCATATAACGAAGAGTTTTGGCAGAATAGAGCGGTTGGAAAAAAAACAGCATGGGCTGCCTCTTGAGGGGTCAGGGGTCCATTCAATGTTACTCAGGATCCGAGGAAATCGTTATGGAGGAGTCCTGGATGGGATTTCAGGGATTTTGAGTTTCTAGACAACGCCTCAGATCACAGAGGGATTCCAGAAGAAGCAGAAGATCGTAGTGAGTAAAAAAAAGGTAGCCTGGGCAGCGCGAGGTCAGCCACGTCCTGTCCTCCACTTGTACAGCTTCGCGGCTGGCAAATCCTAAAGTTTGGCCCAGGCGTACTGGGAACCCCACCCCAAAAGCTGCCGCGCGCGCTCGGAAACTCCGTTGCCAAGGCGACGGAAGCGGTTGGCGCCGGGATTCGGGCTCCGCCGGGGCTGAGGGGACTCGAATTACTGCAGAAACTGGGCGTGGCTTCGGTTACTATGGCAGCAGGGACGCTTTGGCACGGCCTGCGCCCAGCTTAGAGGCCAATGCTCCTCCGGTCCTTTGCATGGCACCCAAGAAAGAAAAAGGCGAGGCTGTGAACACCAGTCCTAAGTTATGGGAGCCCTCGCTCATATCTGCACACTTCAATCAGGTGAGATTTGAGACCTTCCAGTCCTCTCACGGCAACGCCAGAAGCAAGACCGCCAGACCCCCTCGCAGCAGGCGCCATTGCTGCCCTCCCTCTGAAACTCTGAAAACGCGGTCGTTTTTAGTACTGCCCCCACCCTCGCCCGAGGGCCTCCTCACAAAAAACGACTCAGGGGTCCAGAGGCAGGGAGTGCTTGATAAACAAACCCGCGGACGTTAAGGGGGAGAAGGAAGGGAACGCGCCCGCCGCGCCGGCTGACGCGGTGTGATTTCAAAGGGCGGGAGAAGTGCGTGGCCTGGAGGAGGGGAGGCGTCGCCCTGACACTGCAAGACGCTTTTCAGTGCAGTTTCTCAGAGGGCACTGCACAGTTATCCTGGAGTTGTCTTGACGAACTGTTCACTTCCTCCTAAAGGACATCTCTTAAAGGACGGGAATCTCATCAAATCCTATGTGGCCCGGCCCATAGCAAGGCTTTAATAAATGCTGAGTGAAAATAGACTCGCAGTGCTTGGGATAACAGGGTGTTTAATACAAGGGAGCCTTCTACAGATAGGAAAGGGTGACTTTCTTATGCAATGCCCTGGTCCCACTGTATTAATGTGTTGACATATTTTGAATGTGTAGGAGACCACGACAATGAGGGGTTGGCTGGCAGATTCATCCATAGGATATCACAAAGGCACCGGGCAGTGTACAGCCTGCCTGCCCCATGACTTCAAGGTGCACGATTCCAGAACTGACTGGCTCCCGCACCACCTTAGAAAGTGCGGAGCCCAGTAGCTCTTGTCACCTGCAGCTGGAAATCCACTTCTACACTAAGCTGTTTCTAAGTCCAAATTAACATTTGGGAAGAAAAGGATGGGTTTCTGGAAAATCCACCCCTGCCATTGTGACTACTTTAAAAAGTGGAAAAAATTATTTTTTTTTAATTTTATATGTGTGTATGTGGTGCATTAGAGAGTACACAAAGGAAAGCATGAAGAGTAAACAAAGTTTTGTGTTGTCCTCATGAGAAATTTTTACCTATTTGTCTTTATTTCTACTATAATTGTTTTTGTCTATGAAAAGTAATTCTGTCTGATATGGAAATTAGTTGTGAAGACTTTCTTGAAAGCAGTTATGATAGTGCTGATGCTGATGTGATGTCATGGAATTTGGGGTCATTTCTATAACGTTAGTAATGAAGGATGTCAACTCAGTAATCCCCAGTTACGTTCTCAAATTCTCAAAGATGTTTTTCAAAGCACTTTGTAAAAGTACTCTCTCTTGCTTTTATAAGTCAGCACTAGCCAGAAATTTTTTTTCTCCATTTTCTTTGAGATTGTGTAGGCCAAGTGTGGGCTTGGAGTGAACATTTCTGCTTGAATTATAAACTGCTGAACAACGGAGTTGGATGGAAGTGCTGACACTGCATTAGCTTTAGTGTTGCAAATATGAAGCTATAATTTTCCTAGTTGAATGGAAAACCTAAAGGCACTATTTTTCCTTATGGCTTGAAAACCTGAAATAATATTCAGCATTCTTGATCCTACTCAAACAATATAATTTCAATAAATCTTACATATTAATAGAAAGAATTTGAACTCAAGCTAATATGCAGTTTTAGTTTTAACTATGAAGTGTGAACTCAATTTTTTACAATTTTGTTGGAATACATGTTTTCTTATTGCAGGGAGAAAACAACTGCCCTCTACCTTTTCCCATATTTTCTCTCATCCTTGTTTTATATCTGTCTGATCCAAAAGGAAAATTCCCAGATTAAGCCAGCAATTTAATGTCCAGAGGCATGTCCTAGCTACCGATGTAATAGACTCTGAATTTAGTTTAACTATGACTGTAGATATGTGAATTCCTTATTCACAGGGCTTAACAGAGTGTTTTGCACATAGTGTGTGCTCAAAAAAATGTTGTTTTAGTTCCCAGAGAGTTTCAGTTTCTTTCCATGCAGTTATTACTCATATGCAAGTTATTACTGATTGTGTATGCTAGTGTGTGAATTTTTTGTATGTGTGTGTTGAGGGATGGGAGAGAAGGAAGTAATTCCTCTAATCTTCCATAAACTAGATTTTAGAGTTAACTCATTGAAGAGTCCAAATCAATAGCAGTTTTGAACTCATGTTTATATTGGGACATGAGTTCCCAATATGTTAAAGAGGATAAACAAGTTTGCAATTTGTTTTTAGTGAATTTATCTTATATCACTATTTTGGACTATCCTTAGAGGCTGGAATAATTGTCCGTTTTAGTTGGTTCTAAAAACATAAAATGATAGCAAATAATACAAAGTTGTCTGTTACCAAGCACTAAATGATTACATGGATACTAAAGGTTAGGAAGATGAATGGACTTGGGGGGCAGTCAGGAAATGCTTTGCGTTTATCTGGGCCCTAAAAAATAGGTGGAATTTGAACAGGTAGAATGAAGGAGCTTCCTTACTTTAGGTAAGGAAACCAGTATGTGCCTTAAATAAATCTGACACATTTAAATTGAAGAGAGAAAAGGGTTAAGTTAGACCAATGCCAGTTATACATAATATCTAAATTAATTCAGTCAATCAAACAATAAGTTACTGTCTTTGCTATCTATATACCAAAACATTTATCTTACTAATATATGTGAAATACCACACCTCAAATTAAATGAAAAGAAAATATTTAGTTACATTGGCAATAAGACTATAAAAATACACATTAGTGTGGGTATGTATGTGACATAGACATTATATTTATGATCTTAAGCAGCATTAGAAAGTCAAAGATGCTTTGGTGTCATATAAATTAAAATCTTTTCATACAAATATCAAGACAGACTCCATCAGCCACAGTGAGAGGAAGAGGTGTTAATCTAAGCACTCAGTAATCATTGTAATCATTAAACAATATTAGTTCCTCATCCTTCCTTCTTGTCAGCCCTTAGAAGCCACAATTCTATTTTCTATCTCTGTGAATTTGATTACTCTAGGTAATTCACATAAGTGGAATTATACAGTGTTTGTCTTTTTGTGTCTGATTTGTTTCACTTAGTATAATGTTCTCAAGGTTCATTCATATTGTAGCATGTGTCAGAATTTCCTTACTTTTCAAGGCTGAATAATATTTCATTGTATATATATACATTTTATTTACTCATTCATCCATTGATGCGACCTTGGATTATTTTTACCTTTTAGCTATTGTGAATATTGCAGCTATTAACATAGGTGTACAAAAGTATGTGGGAGTTCCTGCTTTCAATATTTTTATTTCAGGATATTATGGGGTTACAAACATTTTGGTTATATTTTATGACTTTGCCACACCCAAACCATGATTTGAGGCATGCCCTTCCCCCCTACAATGCTCACCACATCCATTAGTGGTGAGTTTAGCCACCCCCAACCTCCCAACCCCCAAAGAATATTACTACTGTGTGAGCACCTTAGTGTTGATCAGTTAGTGCCAATTTGATGGCCAGTACATGTGGCAGCTATTCTTCCATTCTTGTGATACCTCACTTCGGAGGATGGGCTCAAGCTCTATCCAGGAAAATATAAGAAGTGTTATATCACCGTCGTTTCTTAAAATTGAGTAATAATCCATTGTATACGTATACCAAATTTTATTAATCCACTTATTTGTTGATGGGCACTTGGGTTTTTCCCCCAAGTTTGCAATAGTGAATTGTGCTGCCATAAACATTTGAGTGCCGATGTCTTTATTATAGAATGTCTTTGTTCTTTTGGGTAGATGTCTAATAGTGCTATTGCTGGACCAAATGGTATTTCTATTTTTAGCTCTTTGAGGTATCTCCAAATTCTTTTCCACAGACTTTGCATTAATTTGCAGTCCCACCAGCAGTGTAAGAGTGTTCCCAAGTGTGCTTTTAATTGTTTTTTTAAATTTCTGTCATCTATGACTGCTTTTAGATGTCTTAATCTCCTTAAGAGTCTCACAACAGCTTTTTTTCAGGGTCTTAGATGTTCTACTGCATTCCTCGGCCCATGGTCTGTTTCCCCAGGTGTCCATGGGTCTGCCACCCCTCGGACGCTTTCATGTGCCTGAAAGCTTACTACTGACTTATGCGGCTTGTGCCAGCCTAAGATCTGAGCTGTGCTGCTGTTCCCTATATGGACCCTGAGTCAGACCAGACAGCAAACAGTCCCTTGGAAAGCCCACAGAGAGGTTAAAACATTGAAAACAAGCTCTGTTCTGCTTCTCTGGTCCACAAGAGGGAACCAGGAATTAGGCTACCTCCTCCTCACTATGCCACCACCACACACTGCCTTGGGGAGTGAGTGAAGCAAAGGAGAGTAAAAATTTCCAAAATTTCCTACTGTATTAAATGTTTCTTTTTCTTAATTGGTCATCCACTTAGTTGGTGTAGATCTTTGATTGGCTTCATGGATCCTAGAATGTTATTGTAGTCTTTAAGTTTTTTAAAAATGTTTTTGTGGAGAAAGAAGGAATGGAATTCCTAGTCTGCCGTCCTGCTTATGCCACTCTGGTATAAGATATTTTTTAATCAATTCTGAATTTTTGATTCCTTCCAAGCCTATCATATGACAGGTTAGGCTGGAAAAGGAGAGATAAGTGGATGTTTTGTTTATGTCAATTTACGAAACATTTCCAGGGTTGTTCAAGCAACATAGCCATTCCTATAAGGAGCTTACAGATAGCACAAGGCCTGTCTCTGAAAAATGTCACGTTTTCAAAATGACTGAATGACTGAGCTGTATGTTTCTATTGGAATGTTGTGTTATGGTCAGGAAAAAACCTTCACAATGTTATTAATGTTGAGTGAAACATGGTACCAGTAGAGAGAATAATCACAGACCAGATATAAACCTTTTTTTTTTTTTTTAATTTCAGAGTACTCAGGGGTACAAATGCTTTAGTTACATAAATTGCCTTTGGACCACCCGAGTCAGAGCTACAATCATGCCCATTCCCTAGACAGTGTACACCACATCATTAGGTGTGAATTTACCATTCTTCTCCTTCCCACTCCTACTTACCCAACACCCT